CCTTCTCTGCCTTTTGAGTAGTTTCCATTGTTCGGAAGTAGTAATTTACGCTATTTCGATTTCTCAAAAAACGCATGTGAATTTATAAAGTACTAATAATATTCCGCACTATTATACACATATTGTTTGGCGTTTACTTGGTGCGCAATTCTTTTTTCTACGAGATTTTATTCTATTCTAAAAAGTTTAAGTTATTAAGAATGGAATAAACTCATGTCAAGTTGCCATCCCCCGTTGTTATATATTTTTATGAATATTCAGGAACGTTTAAGGGAGATCACTCTCGGTTTATTTATTAAACATAGCACTATGTGTACATTGTTTGACATAGCCCTATGTGTACATTGTTTGACATAGCCCTATGTGTACATTGTTTGACATAGCCCTATGTGTACATTGTTTGACATAGCCCTATGTGTACATTGTTTGATATAGCACTATGTGTACATTGTTTGACATAGCCCTATGTGTACATTGTTTGACATAGCCCTATGTGTACATTGTTTGATATAGCACTATGTGTATATTGTTTGACATAGCCCTATGTGTACATTGTTTGACATAGCCCTATGTGTACATTGTTTGACATAGCCCTATGTGTATATTGTTTGACATAGCCCTATGTGTACATTGTTTGACATAGCCCTATGTGTACATTGTTTGACATAGCCCTATGTGTACATTGTTTGATATAGCACTATGTGTACATTGTACACGTACGAAAAGGTTCCAACCAAAATTATTTTGTTTTCTCAGATAGCAGGTTCAGCTAATGACGTCATCAGACATCCAGCCACAGAGGAATCATTGAGCTCAACTGTAGCCTCCAGGTACCTGACTCCCCTCCTCCCCTCCTCACCTTGATCACAGTGAGCTCCACGCCAGCCCCTCTCACAGTTCCCCCCGGAGCACAGGCCGCTCATGGCGTTACACGATTGGTTGTTCTTGCAGTGTCCACACGTCTGACGACAGTTGGCGCCAAAAGTAAACAGCTCGCACGCTGGGGGAACAGAAGCAAACCTTGTCTAACTTAGTCAACCCATGCTAAACCCAACCTCAGTTAACCCATGCTAAACCCAACCTCAGTCAACCCATGCTAAACCCAACCTCAGTCAACCCATGCTAAACCCAACATCAATCCACCCATGCTAAACCTAACCTCAGTCAACCCTTGCTAAACCCAACCTCAGTCAACCCTTGCTAAACCCAACCTCAGTCAACCCATGTTAAACCCAACCTCAGTCAACCCATGCTAAACTTATTACGTGACCTAGTGTGAACAACAAATGACGTACGTGTGAGACATTGGTTGCCATAGAAACCAGGGTCACATCCGTCTGAGCAACTTCCGGTCACGATGTTGCACGGCTGCTCGTCAAGACAATGGCCGCAGTTTTTGTTACAGTTGATGCCGTAGTACATGGGCTTGCACACTAGGGGACAATAGGAGGACATTAGGGGGACATTATATGGGCTTGTACACTAGTGGGACATTATATGGAGTTGCACACTAGTGGGACATTATATGGAGTTGTACACTAGGGGACAATAGGGGGACATTAGATAGGCTTGCACACTAGGGGACAATAGGTGGACATTATATGGGCTTACACACTAGGGGACAATAGGGGGACATTAGATGGGCTTGCACACTAGGCGACAATAGAGGGACATTAGATGGGCTTGCACATTAGGGGAAAATAGGGGGACATTAGATGGGCTTGCACACTAGGGGACAATAGGGGGACATTAGATGGGCTTGCACACTAGGGGACAATAGGGGGACATTATGGGACATGACATGGGCTTGCACACTGGGGACATGATATGGGCTTGCACACTAGGCGACAATAGGGGGACATCAGGGTGACATTATTTGGAGTTGTACACTAGTGGGACATTATATGGAGTTGTACACTAGTGAGACATTATATGGAGTTGTACACTAGTGGGACATTATATGGAGTTGTACACTAGTGGGACATTATATGGAGTTGTACACTAGGCGACAATAGGGGGACATCAGGGGGACATTATATGGAGTTGTACACTAGTGGGACATTATATGGAGTTGTACACTAGGCGACAATAGGGGGACATCAGGGGGACATTATATGGAGTTGTACACGAGTGGGACATTATATGGAGTTGTACACTAGTGAGACATTATATGGAGTTGTACACTAGTGGGACATTATATGGAGTTGTACACTAGTGGGACATTATATGGAGTTGTACACTAGTGGGACATTATATGGAGTTGTACACGTGACCTACTTTCCCCACAGTTGTACCCGGTCCAGCCGGCCTTGCAGCCGTCAAGACAGCGGCCGGTTGTCCTGTTGCAGCTATTTAAACAGCCAGCTGTACACCTGCTCTGGCAGTCCGCGCCCCACAGTCCTTCAGGACACTCTGAAACATTTCAATCACAATAAGGACATTATGAAACATTTCAATCACAATCAGGACATTATGAAACATTTCAATCACAATCAGGACACTCTGAAACATTTCAATCACAATCAGGACATTATGAAACATTTCAATCACGATCAGGACATTATGAAACATTTCAATCACGATCAGGACATTATGAAACATTTCAATCACAATAAGGACACTCTGAAACATTTCAATCACAATCAGGACATTATGAAACATTTCAATCACGATCAGGACATTATGAAACATTTCAATCACAATCAGGACATTATGAAACATTTCAATCACAATCAGGACATTATGAAACATTTCAATCACAATCAGGACATTATGAAACATTTCAATCACAATCAGGACATTATGAAACATTTCAATCACAATCAGGACATTATGAAACATTTCAATCACAATCAGGACATTATGAAACATTTCAATCACAATCAGGACATTATGAAACATTTCAATCACAATCAGGACATTATGAAACATTTCAATCACAATCAGGACATTATGAAACATTTCAATCACAATCAGGACATTATGAAAATGAGATCTCCCACGAGCGAGGATTAACTGGAGGTTTTAAATTTAACATTCATCCATGACGTCACTATGTCACCGTGACATGACTTGTTTACATTTGTTAAAAGAACTTCCGGACATCTTTTTTCTCTCCCGGCAAGTGGTCGACCAGCTTTGATGCACGTTGAGATTCGTGTCGAAATTGTGTCTGACATTTGACGGAATTTCCCTTGGCCTATCGACTTGAGCCGTCTGCAGCAAGACTTGCTAGCAGCTCTCTGACGTTACTTTAGCAGAAGATAAAAGCTGTTTGTCATTACCACAAACCCAAGTCACGTGATATTTTCGTGCGGCGAATAAACAGCGTCGGGTTTATTAAGTAGGACCTCACACGATACCCAAGACATGCTAAAACGATACCTGGAAATGCCCATACGATACCCAAGACATGCTAAAACGATACCTGGAAATGCCCATACGATACCCAAGACATGTTTAAATGAGCTGCTCACATAATTCCTAAGAGACTTAAAACGATACCTGGATTTACCAACACGATACTTATGAATCTTGAAACGATACCTGGATTTACCAACACGATAGTTATGAATCTTAAAACAATATCTGGAGATGCCGACACGATACCTAAGAGATCAACTCAGAGAATCGATTTTTGAACGTCTAGGTGGTCACCCAGCTGTATCTGACAGCTTATTCTCTTTCTGTCATCCCCCCCCCCACCCCACACTAAGGCCACGCCCCCACTAAGGCCACGCCCTAACTTTGCCGCCGATAACGCCCCCAGGTGTGTCTCGTGCAAAGTTCACCACGATAATCGCTGACATTTCGCGTACCGCACACCCACACACTCACACACCCACACACTCACACACCCACACACTCACTCAACCCCGACATTTTCTTACCTGCCCATTTATCGTGGAAATGATTTTCAGTGACAAGCTCTTTACACCAACATCACAACAAGCTCTTTACACCAACATCACAAGCTCTTTACACCAACATCACAAGCTCTTTACACCAACATCACAAGCTCTTTACACCAACATCACAAGCTCTTTACACCAACATCACAACAAGCTCTTTACACCAACATCACAACAAGCTCTTTACACCAACATCACAACAAGCTCTTTACACCAACATCACAACAAGCTCTTTACACCAACATCACAACAAGCTCTTTACACCAGCATCACAACAAGCTCTTTACACCAAAATCACAAGCTCTTTACACCAACATCACAAGCTCTTTACACCGACATCACAAGCTCTTTACACCAACATCACAAGCTCTTTACACCGACATCACAAGCTCTTTACCCCAACATCACAACAAGCTCTTTACACCAACATCACAACAAGCTATTTACACCAACATCACAAGCTCTTTACACCAACATCACATCAAGCTCTTTACACCAACATCACAACAAGCTCTTTACACCAACATAACAACATCACACATATCATGTCATACAGACGTCTACAGCTACATGTCATACAGACATCTACAGCTACATGTCATACAGACGTCTACAGCTACATGTCATGTCATACAGACGTCTACAGCTACATGTCATACAAACGTCTACAGCTACATGTCATGTCATACAGACGTCTACAGCTACATGTCATACAGACGTCTACAGCTACATGTCATGTCATACAGACGTCTACAGCTGCATGTCATGTCATACAGACGTCTACAGCTACATATCATGTCATACAGACGTCTACAGCTACATATCATGTCATACAGACGTCTACAGCTACATGTCATACAGACGTATACAGCTACATGTCATACAGACGTCTACAGCTACATGTCATACAGACGTCTACAGCTACATGTCATACAGACGTATACAGCTACATGTCATACAGACGTCTACAGCTACATGTCATACAGACGTCTACAGCTACATGTCATACAGACGTATACAGCTACATGTCATACAGACGTCTACAGCTACATGTCATACAGACGTCTACAGCTACATATCATGTCATACAGACGTCTTTAGCTACATATCATGTCATACAGACGTCTACAGCTACATGTCATGTCATACAGACGTCTACAGCTACATGTCATACAGACGTCTACAGCTACATGTCATACAGACGTCTACAGCTACATATCATGTCATACAGACGTCTATAGCTACATGGCATGTCATACAAACGTCTACAGCTACATGTCATGTCATACAGACGTCTACAGCTACATGTCAAGTCATACAGACGTCTACAGCTACATGTCATGTCATGTCATGTCATACAGACGTCTACAGCTACATGTCATACAGACGTCTACAGCTACATATCATGTCATACAGACGTCTTTAGCTACATATCATGTCATACAGACGTCTACAGCTACATGTCATGTCATACAGACGTCTACAGCTACATGTCATACAGACGTCTACAACTACATGTCATACAGACGTCTACAGCTACATATCATGTCATACAGACGTCTATAGCTACATGGCATGTCATACAAACGTCTACAGCTACATGTCATGTCATACAGACGTCTACAGCTACATATCATACAGACGTCTATAGCTACATGTCATGTCATACAGACGTCTACAGCTACATATCATACAGACGTCTATAGCTACATGTCATGTCATACAGACGTCTACAGCTACATATCATACAGACGTCTACAGCTACATGTCATACAGACGTCTACAGCTACATATCATGTCATACAGACGTCTATAGCTACATGGCATGTCATACAAACGTCTACAGCTACATGTCATGTCATACAGACGTCTACAGCTACATATCATACAGACGTCTATAGATACATGTCATGTCATACAGACGTCTACAGCTACATGTCATGTCATACAAACGTCTACAGCTACATGTCATGTCATACAGACGTCTATAGCTACATGTCATACAGACGTCTACAGCTACATGCCATACAAACGTCTATAGCTACATGTCATGTCATACAGACGTCTACAGCTACATATCATACAGACGTCTATAGCTATATGGCATGTCATACAGACGTCTATAGCTACATGTCATGTCATACAGACGTCTACAGCTACATGTCATACAGACGTCTACAGCTACATGTCATACAGACGTCTACAGCTGCATGTCATACAGACGTCTACAGCTACATGTCATACAGACGTCTACAGCTACATGTCATGTCATACAGACATCTACAGCTGCATGTCATACAGACGTCTACAGCTACATGTCATACAGACGTCTACAGCTGCATGTCATACAGACGTCTACAGCTACATGTCATACAGACGCCTACAGCTACATGTCATGTCATACAGACATCTACAGCTGCATGTCATACAGACGTCTACAGCTACATGTCATACAGACGTCTACAGCTACATGTCATGTCATACAGACATCTACAGCTGCATGTCATACAGACGTCTATAGCTATATGGCATGTCATACAGACGTCTATAGCTACATGTCATGTCATACAGACGTCTACAGCTACATGTCATATCATACAGACGTCTACAGCTACATGTCATACAGACGTCTACAGCTACATATCATGTCATACAGACATCTACAGCTGCATGTCATACAGACGTCTATAGCTATATGGCATGTCATACAGACGTCTATAGCTACATGTCATGTCATACAGACGTCTACAGCTGCATGTCATACATACGTCTACAGCTACATGTCATACAGACGTCTACAGCTACATATCATGTCATACAGACATCTACAGCTGCATGTCATCTATAGCTTCATGGCATGTCATACAGACGTCTACAGCTGCATGTCATACAGACGTCTACAGCTACATGTCATGTCATACAAACGTCTACAGCTACATATCATGTCATACAGACGTCTACAGCTGCATGTCATACAGACGTCTACAGCTACATGTCATACAGACGTCTACAGCTACATGTCATACAGACGTCTACAGCTACATGTCATGTCATACAGACGTCTTTAGCTACATATCATGTCATACAGACGTCTACAGCTACATGTCATACAGACGTCTACAGCTACATGTCATACAGACGTCTACAGCTACATGTCATACAGACGTCTACAGCTACATGTCATATCATACAGACGTCTACAGCTACATGTCATGTCATACAGACGTCTTTAGCTACATATCATACAGACGTCTATAGCTACATGTCATGTCATACAGACGTCTACAGCTACATGTCATACAGACGTCTACAGCTACATGTCATACAGACGTCTACAGCTACATGTCATACAGACGTCTTTAGCTACATATCATGTCATACAGACGTCTACAGCTACATGTCATACAGACGTCTACAGCTACATGTCATACAGACGTCTACAGCTACATGTCATACAGGCGTCTACAGCTACATGTCATGTCATACAGACGTCTTTAGCTA